ATCGCAGCGTGCATGGCAGTCAGCACACTGGGGCTGCCCACAGATGGAAACATGCAAACCACAGCCCTGGGCAGAGCTCAGGAACACTGACAAAGTCAGACCCCGGCCCCCCAGACTCCTCTGAGAAACTGAAAAATCAGGACGACAGTCCGGATCGACCTCATCTTCTAAGGTTGCACAAACCTGGAGGAAATGGCAAGCCTAGATGTGGCTGAGCTGATCTTGGTGCAGGGCACACAGAAGGGCTGTAGGAAGACAAACTGATTGACAGCTCATTAGATCTGGAGCTAATTAGAGTCTGGATTATATTCTGTAGCATTTCTCTCTATACAAACCTATCTGTGCACTAGACAGAATAAAATTCCAAAATGAGAAAGCACAAGGAATGCAAATAAGTTCCCTTTGCCACCCCCAGCCTCCTTTGCTAGTCACTCTCCCTCAGCAGCGACAGGATAAGGTATCCTAGAGCAGCTGAATGCCAATATGGAATAGGGAGGGGAATTTTTATGTAGCTGTTTTCTCAGTTGCATCATGCTACTACTCCCAAAAATGGAATTCCATGAAATGAAGAATGACTGGAAGGAAAGAAAGATTTTTCTTTCTTTTCTTTTTCTTTTTTTTTTTTTTTTTTTTTTTTTTTTTTTTTTTTTNTTTTTTTTTGTTTGTTTTTGTTTGATTTTTTCTCTACAGCATCCAGTCTGTATTTAGCTAAATTTCTTGCTTCTTTACAAAACCTTTTGTCTTTTTTCCCCCTCTCAAGGCAGGCTGAGAAAATAGAGAGCAACATGGGTCTCATGCCTGTGCCCTCCTCCCCTGCCTGGCCTGCCTCAGCTCAGCACACAGGATGAGCTGCAGCTCCCTGGGAGAGGGTATTTAACTTGAGACTTCCAGCTTAAGCAACAAGCCTCTGTGCTACACACTGAATCACTGCTCTGTGTGATAAATTGGGCCAGTCTCTTAGCTTCACATGTCCTTTAGTTTTGTTCTTATCTCATACAAGCCCAAATAAGAAAAGGCTGAGACATCTGTCTTGATCCAAGCAAAACCAGATAGCTTAGAATAGCTGATTTAATTTACACCAAGAAACAAACCGGCTTAGGCAAACCAGTAAATGTTTTTGAAGCCAGCTATTCTTAAGTTTTAGCGAGTTCCACCTTATTCCAGAAACAAAAAGACCTTGCAGAAACACCACAATGTTGGGCATTGGTCTGTGACATATTTTTAACATCTGTGCAGCAGCTCTTGAGACCATATTGGGGTGTATGTTTGTGTCAGAGATTGACAGAAAGGTGCTTTGTAAAGGTACAAGGCACTTCCTCACTGCCATGATATAATGGGTTGTTAGTGACTTGTCAGTTCATGTTTTCAATTACTGTTATTACTATTATTTCTAAACTGTGGGAGTTTCTAAAATTGCTTTATATCAGATAATAAGTATACTCATTCTTCAGTTACACTAATTAGAGTTCTGAGTATGATTCTGCCACCTCGATGGCTCCAAGAGCTGGGACTGGTTACCATACACACAAAGCTCTTAGCTCTTTTCCATAAATAAATTGCAACCTTAAAGTTTTAACTCTTGATGTCCCAAAGACCATCTTTCCTGCCTCTGGCTTTCCCATGGTTCATTCCTTTAGAGTTTCTTTATTATTATTATTTCTTTAGAGTTTTTCTCCTATCAAATGATGTATCCCACAAAATATTTTGGACAAAATATTTTTGTCCAAACTAAAAGTGCAATCCCTAAGCAATACCAATCACGTGGCATGTTGCTGTGGAGCACATTTCTTTGAAGTTTCCTGAGTGAACAGCTCCCATATTATCTTCTCCTGGGCCACTCTTGTGTTTCCTTCCAGTTGTGCATGCATTTCCCAGCCCTGGGAGGGGACACTGCTGACCATTGCCAGGCTACAGTCTGGAGCAGCCTGAGAAGGCTGTGCATGCCAATCTAGCTGGAAACAAAGCTGGTGAGCAGTGGGTAGAGCTGAGAAAAGTCTTGCTTTTAAAAACTGCCTTAAAAATATATCCGAGTCTGACCTAAAAAGAAGGAAGGTAGCAGAGCAAGTCAGAGCAAAGAGAGAGGAGGATTTAATAGTGTGGCACTACTGCATGCAATAAAGCTTAATGTAGGTTATTATACCAGAAAAAAATGTTTTCCTGAAAATGCTATGCTGTTCCATAGAGCAGAGCTCTCTAAAGGGGCATTGCAAAGGAAGAAAAAACCAAAGAAAGAAAGAAAAAAATCCAGACCATATGAAACCTTGTAAGATGGTCTACAAGGACTTGCATTAAAGTAGGGAAAAGGGACTAAGTTAACTAATAGAAGTGGCTGAAATTTTTTTATAGCCTTGTTTAGGAGACTGTGCATGCATTTTACAGTCCACCTTCTGTCTGCAGAACATAATTTTCTCAGAGAAAAATCTAAATCTGCACTTTTAGTTATTGGAAATTAAGTAGAACCCAGAAACTGTGACATAACCAGCTCTATTTAATCAGGTAAACTGTTTTGCTCCTCACTAGACTATACATGCATGTAATTCCCTTTCCTGATTACCTTCTTACCAGAAATTTGCTGCTCTCCTATTTCAGATGAATATCTCAGCTCATTTTCTTACAGTATGAACATAAAAACCTGCTGGCAGATATCCATTATGATGCTCACTTCACACCTTAGGTTTGCCATCAACCAAGTGCCTTCACCTTCCAGGCCTATTACAGAGCCAATCTTTTTCTCATCTCTGAGAGAGAGTTTCCTATCTGTGCAATAGCTTAAATTGCTCAGGTAGCAAATGCATCCTCCATGGAACCAGCAGCATGGAGAGAGATGAGATGGCCTTCTGGGAGCTCAGGGCAGAAGCAGCCCTGCTGATGGCTGCCTGTGTGTGCTGGCACACAGGACAGCTCACTCCAGCTGTGAACTGGTATGTGTCTTTACTAAAGATGCAGAAAGAGCCATAAGGACTCTTCCTTTAAACATGTCAAGGTCAGAACATAGAAGGTTTACTTCAAGGAAAAAATACACAAATTCTCATTTTTCTAGGACATTTCTTTGATATCTAGCAGGTCTATTTGTAGCAAGTGTTTCCACCATCACTATGAGACAGCTCCCCAGACTAACCTATCAATGGTCCACTTACTGCATAGAATCAATGCATTCTTCTTTCTGAGGTAATTGGATGTATTAATAAAGCAAACAACAACCAAATCATAAAAGTGAGCTCAAAACACTGTTCCTGGCTTGGTTTCTGTTAGGGGCCACATTGTAAATGTGATGAACTCAGATCCTTTCCCTGGGTTTTTTACATGCTGAGATACATGTCTTGGGGTGCCAGAAATGCCAAAGAAGCTGCGTAAGTCTTCCTTGAAGGCTGCATCCCAAAATAAACCCCCTGTCTTCAGGAGAATAGTACCAACCCATTACACACTGCTGTTGAGGGAGATTTTAGGTCATTATGATTCAGTGAGTAATATGTTTGAAAATGCAATTTAAAAGTTTTTCAATCATTCATGAAAACTCTTTTGATGCAGAATAAATCTTGATAATGTCTGTGATTGTGCCTTGACTGATGAAAGATCTGAATGGAAACTTGTACAGTAGGTAATATTTATTCTGGCAGTGTGTCAGTAGGCAATGTCTACTGCTTTTATTGCTTTGTGGAATAAAAGTTTTGAATTTTGCTCAGTACTGAAGCATTTATTGTCTTGAAATTGGCAGCAGTAACACCCAGCTGGGTGCCGGTATGTTTTATGTTTGTGAACAGACTGATCCATGGGAAACAATCTAGCAGACAAATCAACTTCATTATGAATTAAACAAAATCTTTACTTGGGTATGAGACATTTGAGCCTGAGGGAGCTGTTATTTTGGAAAAGGCCCATAAAAGGACTTTTTTAAGACAGGGACTTTGTGAGTTTTTATGATATTCTTAGACTGCCTTTAGTTATGCCTTGCTTTGTATAACACATTGGATTTTTATAAAACAATAACTTCTATGTAAATGGTAGTGGGGTCCAAAACTCTGAGATGAAAGTTAGAACAGTGCTCAGTGCCTGGCCAAACCAGTGAGATGCATAAATTGTTCTTCTTCTGCCTGTCCCCAGGACAGGAACTGTCATTTCCTATCTGTATCTCTATTGCATAGCACTGAGAAAATCCTTTTCATAAGCAAAGAGAGAGGTAGAAAATTTACCCAGAAATAACTGAGTGCTCAGTACCAAAACTAAGCATAGTGTGAAGACATAGTTCTGTGTGCTTAGAGCCCATCTTATCAACTCTCAGCCTTGTGAATGTCATGGGATCTGATGTTTTCTTAATTCCCCAGCTGATGGTAATCAATGAACCACATGATAACCTAGATTTCATTAACGTAATGAAAAAAAATCACATGTAAATAACTCACTTTGTAATTGCTGAGTAAATATGAAGCCAGTCTTAAATCCTGAAGGTAAATAAAATCACCTGATGGTAATTCTGATCCTTTATTCACTCTTCATGGGTTATCATTCCCAATGTTTCTTAGATGCCTCTTAGACATGACCACACAAAAAATTGGTTCTTCATGAAATATCCTGTAACAGTCCTTGCATTCACCCCCAGTCAGCAACCTTTATGAATAATTTTTCTTTTCTCCTTTACTGGTCCAAAAGCATGTGCTGACAATCAGCCTACGGCAATGTGCGCTGGATATTCTCACAATTTACATATGATTTGTTCTCTCTGTACCTTTAATAAAGGCCTTGTGTGCTCTTCTTCTCTGAAAATATTGTATGCCTCTGCTATTACACATGTACTTCTTGGAAGTAGTTTCTATCCTCACAGACATCCCACATGGTTTTGGGGAAGTTGCCCTAACCGTTCCTCCACTCTTTCTGTGTAAAATGCAGATAATTGTATTTCCCTTCCTGATCTGTTTTGGACAGGTTGTTTCTTAGTACAGGTATGTTATATAAAGCCAGGCTTTATAACTGATCTCTGTTTACTTTCTATGTCCCTTGGACAGGGACGGGGATTCAGCCTCCCCCACTGCCAGGCTGGGCCAGAGGAGATGTGACAAAGGGAGGAAGCAGACATGGCTTGTCCCCACAGCTGTGCACAGGCCAAGTGCCAGCGATTACAGCCTGGACACTCACAGGTGAGCAACCTTGCACTGGGTTACATAAAGCACTGACTGAGAACAGCTTCAGGCTGTTAATGCTGCTCTGAGCTGGGGCTGGCATGATAACCATTCAGGGACATTTTTAAATTGCAAAAAGAAAAAAAAATCAGATTCGGTCTATAATTCATGTCAAAGAATTTGCTCTGGGCAGGACTTTTGCCAGTGATTGGGATGATGCCATTTGCTCTCTTGTAGCACAGCTTTCCGAGATGGGCAAGCAGATTATTGTCGCATGACTTTCTCCGGACGATGGTAAGTTTCAAAGAGGTTTCTTCATTCTTGTCTTGAATTGATATAGCTTTAAGATGCTGCTTAACCATAGCTTTAACCATGTTTCAGAGCCTGAATGCTTGATATTTGCAGGAAGAAATGTGAAAAAGAAAGAAAAACATAATAGTTTCCGATCATCAAATATTTTGGGTGAGTCATTCGCCTGCATCGCCAGATAAATGCAACAGGACATCCTGTGACCGTTGGGCAGTTTCTTTAACTTCTCCCTTTTTTGCCTACAACATAAGTAGTGAAGTAGGAAAGAAAGTGGCAGTAGAGTCCTGTCTAGGTGCTCCTCTTTGCTTGGATTCTCTCCCACATCGGGAGAGGGAAGTCAGTCACCTCAGGGGTTAGTACCTGCACTGATGCTGGGATATACATGTGGATTGTGGTCTGCTCCTGGCCAGCAGCAGGTATTTCAAAGGCAAAGCCTCCATGAGTGAGTTTAGAGAAGTTGATGTTATTTTCCTGAGCCTTTTGCCTAGTGGAGGAATTTCTTCACTGGAGCTCTTCTGGAAAGGACCTGGAAGGGGCACTTCTGTGCCACCAGTCCTTTCTCTCACCCCAAGACTTATCATCCCCAGCTAAATTTTTAGGTCTTGCATGCCTAATAGTAGAATTTTAAAGAGATTTTACTAATTCCTTTTGGATGCCAGTGAAGAGATACAGATGACCAGAATACCAGTAAAAGTGATGTAAATGAAGTCAAACAAATGCTGCTCCCAACAAAAAGAAAGCAATAAATCAGAACACCGTAATTCTGGTCATAGAGTTGGCATATTTAAAGAGACACAAGGAAAAGCTGAATAATTGGGAAAATAAAATACTTCTTCTTTCTACTCTATATGCAAGTACAAACAGAGCTTTGAACCTTTGATCTATAAAAAGCCAATCTGATCTTATGCAAAAGCCTTGGGGAAATAAAAAAGATCTGATCCAAGGAAGATAAACATCTAGTTGGAAATCTTAGAGTAAGCCTGAGAGACAGTTTGCATATGTGTGAGAATACATATATAATCACCAAAAATTAAAGACTGCTTTAGGTTGATTGTTCAAGTGAGAGGGAATTAGTGGAGAGAGAACAAATCAATAAAGCACAACTTTCAGTAATAGTTCTTGGCAGAATTTTGGGAGCATGACTTCACATGAAATAACTGGAGTCTTCTGAGATTTATCTCCCTCCTCAAAATCCTTTTTTCAAACTTGTCCCTACTATGACACTTAGAAGTTGATGAAACTGGGATTGTCATGTATTAGAAAGGGTTTCATTTCATTTTAAATTTTCTTTTATTATATATTTCCTTTACATCATGTCAGGAAATGTTCTATTTTGCTTATACAATACCTAGCATGGTGGTCTTCTTTTGTGGGCAAGGTTTCAAGTAACGCCACTAATAATTACCAGGAACAAATCTATCAATAAATAAGTCTCATAACTTAATGATCTGACAGTGAAATGAAGAAATATCAATGTCTAACTGCTATCATGTGTGTTTAATTTTGGCACTGTTCTTCCCCTCTCTCCCATATACACAGAGCTTCAGCAGGCAGAACAATAAAGATAAGGTTCCTTGGTTTTGTTTGTTATTTAATGACCATTATCTTCAGGGTGAGAGGTTCCCCATAGTTCTTTTACACACCTCTCATCTGGACTTCTCCCACTTCCTCATTCTTCGAGTGTTTTCCTGATCTGGTCACAGGTATGCTGGCAGCAAACATTCTGTTCCTTGTATTGGCAAACTATTTTTCGCCCATTTTTCAATCACTGATTCTTTTCCTCTTCCAGTTCCATCTATTTCACAACAGTTTCTGTCAACAAAACACCTTCTACTCCCTATCTGCTTTCCACATCAGATTCATGCCTTAAGTCTAGACTAGAAGTCTTTAGGGCAGGGACTGTCTCTAGATTAACATTTATATATGTTTACTTATCCTCAAAAAGCCCCAGCTTCAAACTTTGAAGTCCAATTACAGTAACTAATATTGGTGTGGGTAAAAAGGTTTTAGCCTATTAATTCCAGGAACCACTCTAAACAATACTTTCTAGCCTTAACCAAAAGTTGAACGTTACTAGCTGTTTCTTCCTGGCCCTCCTAACCCCTGAGCTCTTCTGTCATCCAGCTTCAGGCTCTGCAGCTTGTCTTGAAATTGTTCAATATTTGTAGTATCAAGCCTTTTCTTTTTCTCTTTTATTTGCAATAGCCTTCCTGAATAATTTGGGCTTTCCTGTCTTTTCTTCAAATATTACCTGAACCATATCTTCCTCTTCTAATTGTTCTCACACTATTGTTTTCTAAAGACTTTGATTTAGCTGGCTTAGTAAAATATGCTATGAAAAAAATGCCACGGGAAAAAAAGCGTTCCTTTGTCCCAGATGTTATTTGTATTTCTGTAATAGCTGGGAACTCTATATATAGTTTACCCACTAACCTGATTTCAGTGTTTGTTGTTGGTGATTGTGGTATCACTTTTCTATTACATTCTTATCGCCTAGTCTGGTGTAATCACTGTAACCCTTTACTGCTCTTTGTACTTCAGAGCACACCTAATACTCCAGTTCAAAGTTGTGCTTGTTTCCTTTATCTTTCATAACTGACACAGTGGAACCAGTTCACAAAAATAGTCTTTTCTGAGTCGTTAGTTGCAAAATTTTTGTTTAAATCACCCCGGGAAATAAACAATGGAGCTGGGAAGGTTAGGTTTTACATTTACATTTATCATTTTGTTTACTTGTTTGTAAAGTCTGCTTCAATGTAACCCACTACTGGATAGTGTAAAATAGCATAACACTCACAAAGTGTGTGATATACTTGTTTTTGTATGAGGAATGTGTAATTCTCCACTTTCTGCCTCTATCTAGCCTGCTTTGTCTGGCCAAAATACACCTCTGTCAGAGAACTGGTGGATGGCTTAGGTGGAGGTCACACTGCCCCTTTCCTTTAGTGTGGCACAAACCATCCTCAGGATTCACGGTCTTGTTTGCAGGCAATATGAGAGAATAATAAAGGAACAAAGGAAGCTGCCCAGTCTCCTGAGGCTGGATGTCTGGGTGATGGAGCTTGCAGGTGCAGAGCAGGGGTGTCCCAGGAGGTGACATGGCCTCCCAGAAGCTGTGGCCTGTGCCTGGTGTTGCCTGAGGCTCTGGCAAATGCCGTGTGACCGCTCTGCACAGGAGCTTGATCCCAGCTGATGCACTCAGCCTCAGAGTGCTGCAGGCAGCTGCTGCCAGAGGCAGGTGCAGAGTGCTGGTCCTGGGCAGGTGCTTCCTGACTGCCTTGGAGATGAGCTGAGGCATAGCCTTGCCTTCACCCACCCAGTCAGCCGAAGAAGAGCTATCAGACTCTCCTACAGACAACTTTGTGCCTTGCAAACATCTGCTTCTTCCTCTCTTTGCCTTCACATCCTGCCCCTGTCCCGTGTGGCAGACACACTCCTCCTCTCTGTGAATTCACACACACAGGTAGCAGGAGCAGCCCTCAAACCACAGCCAAAATGCAAAGAGTGGATTTATTTCATGACCTCGCTAACAAAGCCTGGCCACAGAGACATGAGGACACAGGCTGCCTTTGGCTAAGTTCATCCTAGCTGGCAGCAGGGACAGGGGCTCGCTGCCTGCCCCACCACTGCAAAAGATGTCGGCACATGCCTGACAGGAATTCTCCTCAAAACAGGCACAACAACAGTAGCCATAAGACGAACAACAGTAGCCATAAGAAATGGTGTTTTCCCACATCAACATTTTTTGTGTTTCCAGCTTCAAGGTCACTTTGGGAAAACTATTTCCCCTTCATCAGTCTTTCTGTTTTAACCCTTTCTTCCCAAGAGCCTCACAAGTGCTACACCCAGGAGAGCAGTCCTGGAATACCGAGTGAAGTTCACCCCCATTGGCAAGGAGGCTGTTGTTCTCCCCAGGCCTCCTTATAGTCACACACTCCCCATTTGAAGGTCCAAAATTCTTTGGGATCTCCTCATCAGTTCCCTCCTGGCACATGCCGCTGAAGTGTGGCTGTTCAGTGGAGAAGTCCTCTACAGTACTGAATTCCCCCTTCCTCTGCCTGTCTCATGCAACCTGTCAGTTTCTTGAGCAGTGACAATCCCATGGGACTCCTTCTCAGAGATTTTCACTGTTTCTCTTTTTCGAGAAGTAGCCCATGCTGGTTCCTATCTTCATTTGTTGTCTCCACTGTGCAGAAAAGGGGAAGCCATGAGATCAAAAGTAAACGGGCTGCTTAGTCCTTGAGGGCTTTATGTGCTGTGCCTGAGGGATCTGTCATTTCAATATTTCTAAGTGCCAAAATTAAATATTTTTATCACAAAGTCAATTAGGTTGGAAAAGTCCTCTGACATCATCAAGTCCAATCTTCTCGTTCTAAGCAGTTTGTGTTCTTGGGCCTATTCTTTCAGGGAACACTAGTGTGCAAAGTTTCTGTACATGTTTACAATTACTGAGCAGCCTTAGCTTTGCTCTGCATGCCATAAAAGCAAGTTAATACTGCTGTTGGTAGTCAAAACCACACTATTGCCAAAACTGCTATTCATAATTCTCCTTCCAAGAAACAACATATTACGGACTGCAGTCACCATGCAGTTCTCATGTATTTGCGACTTGGATTTTTGTTTATTTGCAATTACAATATTTATTATCATTATACAATTATAACTGAATTATTGCAATTATTGTAATTTTGTCCTTTTTTTCATAGACTTCACCTCATACTTGGAACAGATATTTCTTAATATCTCTGTTGTTTTTGTGTTTTTTCATCAAGATTTTGCTATTCTTGTCATTGCATTATATTGGATGTTAAGAACTATATTTCTAACTCTGGCTTTTAAATATCAAGTGGGGAAATAGCTGCACACAGTGGAAGCGCTGTCCCATGCAGACACTGGATACAGAATCAGGGTACAGTTTCGATGGGTGGGCTCAACCTCATGGGCACCAAGTTGGCTGTGACTCTTCCAGCAGATTTCTTGTTCAATAGATTTCTTCTAGCCACTATCTGCAGACCAGCAAAGAGCTAAAGCGACTTCTTCCTGTTCAAAGACAACCAGGCATGGGAGACCATGATGAAAAATTGCAGAGTGGAAGGTATGCACATGGATAA